TTTAATGATTTTGAATCTCTGTTCCCAATTCAAAATTGTTTTCGGATCGTCGAATAGATAGTTATCCAAGCTCCCATTCGCCATAAATTCGTAAACAATAAGCAGATCCTGCCCCCGCCGACACCACCCGAGCAACTGAACCAGATTCCGGTGACGGAGCCTTCCGATTGTAGCGATTTCCGTCACAAATTCCCGGAGACCCTGTTTCGAATTATGAAAAATTCGCTTCACGGCGATTTCTGTTTTCGAAACCGGAAGGGTTCCTCTGTATACTTTCCCAGATCCACCAAACCCAAGAATCTCCTTCTCGCTGAAATTTCTAGTACCCTTTTTGAGTTCTCTGTAGGAATATCGATGGGGTCCCATTTGAAGCTCCCACAGCTCGATTTCATTAGATTTCTTATGCTTTCTTAAGAAATAAATACCAAAAGCGAAAACAGAGATCGCAAAAAAACTCGCCGCTGTTACAGACAAATAAACAGAGAGACCGATTTTCGCCCCTGTTTTCCTCTGTTTGGGTAATGGAAGCGAAGAGAGCTCAAGATCTCGGGCTTCGCCATTAATGGCGAAACTCCACCCCAAAATATACTGCGAGCTATAAGCCAGTATACCCGTTGAAGCAGTAAATCCAACGTACATATTTTCATTAAAAATTGACGAAAGATCCACTCTGTACGACAGAAGTGGCTTTCTGGGTTTTGAAGAAAAAGGAGAAATCGTAACATTGAGAGTGATTTCACGAGAATCATAATCAATCCAAGCTTTAACAGGCTTCCCACTTTTGAGAGTCAGATTATGAAGCTGACCAGAATCATCAAAATAAGCAGCCTGTTTAGAGACATTGGAAATCAAGCTATTTAAATCGATACCCACATGATTGTTGTCGATGTCTTTAACCTCAACCGTCTGGATGGTATCGAATTCAACCGCGAAGATATGGGTTGAGGGTTTTCTGTTGAAGAGGCCGAGATACGTCTGTGAAAGAGCACCGAGATTTTTAGAAGGTACAATAGCGAAAGTGAAGCCATGGCCGACATAGTTATCGTCCTCGGGGATGATGCAGAAGGCAAAACAGGTGGAGAAAGAAAAAGCTTTGCCGTTGCTACTACCGCCGTGTGCGGCGGTGGAGGAGTTTTTGAACTGAATTGGAGAGGCGTAAAAGGCCTGGCCGATGATATCAGGGGCATAATTGGTGAGTCTCAAAACTCCATTGTTCTCGATTCCTGCATATTGCTTCAAAGTCAAGTTGGTGGATGCATTGAATCCAGGATAGAACAGTTGGTTGTGCTGAGACAGCGTTTGGGTGGACAGGAAAATTAGAGCAGAGAAAATTGTGATGAACAAAACAGAGGATGCCATGATCTAGAAATTAAGGTTTGATGGTAGGGAAAGGAAGGGTGGTTTATTGGTCCATCAAAAAGGACAATGATGAACATCCAACAAAATTCATCAGTAGAATCTTTAAGTTCGCACGGAGTTGAGAAGGTCGGTTCTTAGCTGGTATCACATTTTCAACAGAGATTTTTTCGATCTGTTTTAGGCTAGTCTCTACGTCTCTAAATATTAGATAGACATGTCTAGCTATAACATATTTTGATTTTAAATGAATTTTGATATTGATAATAAAATTTTTAAATTTATTTATCTCTCAAAAAATTTGATCACCACATATATTTTATCTATATTTTCATCCATATTTCTTTTAAATTAATGTTAGCTCGCTACTACATACACCACTAACGTGGATTTCTCTCCACCCGCTTTCTTTCCTTCTATCATACGAGAGTCACGTATCATATTATTGAAAGTTAAAGGACTCAGACTGATTCGATGGACTACTAATTGAAAACGTGCCTTTTTTTATCACTTAATCTATTCCGTAAAAGAGTTTATGTATTTGCATGAGCCCTCTAAATTTGAGTCTGTCGTCTGTACTCAAGCTAATTTCTTTTCGACCGACCATTGATGATGAACGTAAACAACCATGGATGAGTGTTTTGGTAATTTTAGTTTTAGAAGGCGGAAGACTTTTTTGTTTAATAATTTTTGTTACGTTTTGGATTGATTTTGGTAAAGTGTGCGAAGAAGATTGTGGAAATAAATAAATAAATAATTGTTTCTAAAATGTGGGAGAAACAAATGTAAATGCAATAAAGGTAGAAGAATTATGTCCACTTAATTTATAAGAAAGAAATTAAATTTGGAGTGAGAAATGAAGTGACATTTCACCAAATTTAGTCGCACAAGGGTTACATGATTCCATGAAGTGAACACCTCAAACACTAAGGGACCATTTGAAGTGTGAAAATTATTCATTTTTTGTCCCGAAAATTCTGATGAACAATGACGAGAGGTGGTCGGTGGGCCGAGGAAAATTTCGTTCTCTATTTTGTTCTATGATTATGAAGTGTAAGATTAAAATTTTTTATATTTAAAATAGTAATTGATGTCTTATCTATTGAACTATACTTGAATTGATGTATCGATATAATAAACTTTCTAATCAATAATGGTCTCCATTATTTTTTAGGTGTACCTGAGCTTTCGTGTGCCATTGGAATTCATATGATGAGGCCACTATCAATGGTTCTGTGGATGTTCACAACTTTCATAATGATGCTTTGAGCAATTTAGTTGATTTTCGCTTCAATTACATTACATAAAAGAAGCTGGCCACACCCACTTGGGTCACTGTTTTCGCCTCTTAAGCTGCTTTTCGAGAATTGATTTGAGTTTTTGTAATGGCCTAAGTTCATCGCTATTTGATATTGTTTGTTTTAGCTTGTTACTTATCATTATTAGTCTCACCATTTTAAAACGTGTATACTAGTGAGAGATTTTCATGTCCTTATAAGAAATATTTCATTCTTTTCTCCGACCGATGTAGGATCTCACAATCCACCTCCTTTGGGGACTTAGTGTCCTCGCTGGCACACCGCTGGGTGTCTAGTTCTTATACTATTTGTAACAGCTCAAGTCCACCGCTTGTAGGTATTGTCCGCTTTGGTCCGTTGCGTATCGTCGTCAGCCTCACAATTCTAAAATGTATCTACTATGGAGAGGGTCTAGTCCTACTCCGATCAATGTCTCATTGTAATGGTCCAAGCCCACTGCTAGCTTATATTGTCTGGTTTAGCACGTTACATATCGCCACCAGCCTCATAGTTTTAAAATGCGTCTATTGGGGAGAGATTTCCACACATTTACAAGTAATGTTTTGTTCCTGCTTCCAACGGATATGAGATCTCACAATTCACTCCCGTAGGGACCTAGTGTCCTTGCTGGCACACCGCTCAATATCTGACTCTGATACTATATGTAACCGTCCAAGCCCACCCGATATTAACTCAAATAGTACGTATCAATGGTTTCTATAAGCACAGAGAAGTATGTGGATTGAAGTGATCTTTCCCATATGAAAATTGGATGTGTGGGAACAATAATGGCCCATTTATGGATAACTGCCGCCTCACACTGCACTTACTCTCAAATAATGGCTCTCATGCATAACTTACACTGTTCATCCTTCAACTTGACCTTCTCTTCAATTACATTTTTTACCATTACCAATATCCTTTGGTAGTTGAGATATTCCAACAGATGAACAAAATAACTCCCCTCGAGTATCTCGGTGCCCGCTGTTTCGGGTATGCGTCGAGATATCAATTTAGCCATTAACGCAAATGAAAGAGGGAGTGATGAGAGATTTCTTCGTGTTAACTAAATAGGATTGGAGACGAGATTATAGTCTCCATTCTCGTCTCCATCCTGTCCCCACCTATATCCTCATCCCGTCCAGTCCCACCTCACTCTTTATATATAAATATAAATATATTTATATACATATTATAACTAAGACACAAAACTAATTTATTAGTATTATTATTTTTATATATATATTTTTAACATAAAAGAATATGTATTTAGAAATTTGAGTCTAGGTTAGCTTATGAAATATTATTAGATTTATCCGGAGTCTTTCTTAATAGAAACTATATGGAAAATATAAATTATTGATAATTTTTTTTAACAAATATTTTTTAATATATAAAAAATGGAGAAATTTTTTTTGGTAGGAACCTGATCCCTCTCTGCAAAGAATTCCTACCTCTCGATCCGTGCAAAAAAAAAAAAAATAAATAAATAAATGAAAATTTTTGTGAAGAAAGGATTTGAAATAGGACACGAGGACAAAGTCCGAAGAGAGGAATGTCTTTATCTCCCTACTAGAATTATTTTAAAATTTTGAAGTGAAGCTAAAACGAGAAAGCTAATATTTGTAAGCAATGGACTGGGATTGGACGGTTCGATTATGTTAGGATCGATACCCGTTATTAGTTCTGATATCTATTGTTAGGATCGCTCAACAACTCATGCACTCTATTAAAATGAACACAGAATAGGAGAGAGAAAATTCAAAGAGGAATATAGACTAAATGTTTTACTATAAATGATTTCAGATACATACGTGATAATACAGTAAAAAAAAAAAAGTTGAGATCACAGCGTATATATAGTTTCAATTTACTAAATATAACTTTCAAAAATTTAAATATAATCTAATAAATATATATATATATATATATATATATATATATATATATATATATATATATATATATATCAAATTTTTATTAAATATGTGCCTGTATTTCTTTAATAAATATTTTTTAAATATATCTCTACTCAATCTAGTTAGATAAACCTGTTTTGAGATTGAAATCAAAATCCATAATTGAAGCAATTTTTGAGATTGAAATCAAAATCCATAATTGAAGCAAAACATTTTGAAAAGTAAGGCATTATTGATTCTAATACATTTTGAAATGATTGAAGAAGAAGTATGAGCAATTGGGAAAGAAGTGATTGATTCGAGGTGGAGCTGTCAATTGAGTACTTGAACACAGCAGCTTTGATTTGTGAGCCACAAGTGGTATTTTTCAGAGCTTCATTACTTCAATTTTAGGGCTTTGTAAGGGCCCAACGCCAACCAGCATACCCCTCGTGCTCTCACGTAATTGATACCAAAAACAATTATCCCAAAACTTACGCATACCCTTCTCTTCTCATTAACCCATTTCATGTGGGAGATGCCTTCCTCCTCCTCCTCCTCCTCCTTAATTCCCCTCCCTCAATCCTTACAGCTTTATAAATTCCCCATTTGCATTGTCTCTGCACTTGCAGGGTCCTCTGTTTCTACCAATGGAAGGTTTGCTCTGCGATGAGGATTGGCTTTCAACTTCAGCTGACACTCATGGGAAGAACCTGAGTTTGGTGTGTGTAGGCACCAAGGAAGATGAAGATGAAGAGCAGGCGGCTGTGTCGGTGTGCATGGCGAAGGAGATGAGCTACATGCCTGACCCTCATTATAAGGAGTTCCTTGAAACTCAGGATCTTGTTTTTGTGAGGCTCAGATGTATTCAATGGCTTCTCAAGGTCGAATTTTGATCGTTTTCAGTTCTTTCTTTTCATCATTTTCAATTCTAACGAGTTTTAGTTTTATGTTTCAGTGTAGAAATCGATGGAATCTCTCCCATGGAACTGTTTTTCTGGCTGCAAATTACCTGGATCGCTTCATATCTAAGAACAGAACCAAAGTAAGCACATCTCTTCCCATTTGTGTTGTGATGGGTTTGGATTACAAACTTGAATTTCCCATCTGGGTATTGCTTTTTTCAACCGTTCTAACTCATTCATGTTCAAAATTACGGATCTTTATATTGTCCACTTCGAGCTTAAGTGTTCGTGATTTTCTGTTTAGTTTTCCTAAAAGCTCTAACCAATGAAGATAGTATTCCTTAAAGTCGTTTTTTTACTACACCTTCGAGGCTCACAACTTCTTTATTCGACACTTGAGGATTCTATCGACATAAGCCCCCGATCTCATATCAATGGAGATAGTATTCCTTACTTATAAACTTAATTAAAATGGCAGGAATGGAAGGATTGGATGGTTGAATTATTGAGCGTTGCATGCTTATCCGTAGCCTGCAAGTTCCACGAGACCTATCCTCCAACTTTGACTCAAATTCAGGTAACTTTTAAAAAACCGCTAAATTAATAAAAATATCCTTAAATTTTCAAAAGTTTGATATCGAAAGTTCGCTAACAATGAATTTGTTTGGATGTGGAATATTATCGAAGATGGAGGATTATATGGATCATGTGTTCGATGAAAGCTCGATAGAAAGAATGGAGGTGACATTGCTAAAGGCTTTGGATTGGCATCTCTGTTGCCCAACGCCTTATTCTTACATTCACCTTTTGGGTCTGAATTTGGAGTCTTCACCATTGATGGCGAACATCACAGAGCTGCTTGTTGGCGCTGTGTTGGATCATAGGCTCATGCCTTTCAAGCCAAGCTTAATTGCCCTCTCCACAATTTGGTGCTCTTTAGACTTGCTTCCTCCCATCACTTCTCAACCCCCTCTTTCATATTTTATGCGGCTCTTCAACCACCCCCATAAGGTAAATTAGATATCATGATCGCTTCGTTCGTATCGAACTCGAATGTTTATTTGAATAGTTGTATTTGATTGATAATTTTATGTGGTGTGGAACTAAATTATGTAGGATGAGATGATGAAATGTCGTGCGGTTTTGGAAGCAATTCAATCTTCTCGCTGCCCTCAAAGCCCGACGTCGGTGTTGATGAAGGACCAGAGCTATTGAAGTGGAGAGAGCGGAATGGATCATTTCTTAAAGTTAATAATTAAGGTCTTGTATAATAGTCGTTTTGTTTTTAGTTTTCGAGTCTCTTTGGAAAAAAAAAACCCCATTTTATTTGTTGGGCTAATTTCAAAACAAAAACTACTCCTTTTAGTCTAAAAAATTTGCTTAGATTTTGAAAATATTTTATAAGGTAGATGGAAAATAAATGTAATGAATATCGAGACCTAATTTTCATTAGTCTACATATTTATGTGGAAAATTGCACAAATTACAGGGTCGTTACAATTAAACTCTTAGATTTACATAATTACGTAATTGGTTGAAGCAATAACGTACTATTATGATGTTATTCACGTGACAAAGTGACAAAACTTGTAGGTGTAATCTTATCGAAGAAGAATAAAAAAGAAAGAAAAAAAAAAGGATTATTGTTCTTCATGTAGAATTTAAAAATAAATAATCCCATAAAGTAAGAACCTTAATTATTTCAATTTATATCTAAAGCTTACCATTTACTTTAATTTTGTTCTTTAATGTAGCCAAAATTTGGTGGAGGATATATAAAAGAAAAGGTTTAAGATTTGATGCCACGTCATTTTAAAGCTACTCTTTCATTTTTAATTTCACATAAAACAATAAACTTAGTTTATAAATTAGAATACCAAAAATAGGATGGTTATTTGCCTAATTGATTTTTTTAAATAAAAAACTTAGTTTGTGAAATTCAACTGATAATTCAAATGTTACGGTGAGATCCCATATCGGGTGAGAGAGAAGTGAATCACTCCTTACAAGAGTGCGAAAACCTCTCTTTAGTAGATGCGTTTCAAAACCGTGAAGCTGATGACGATACATAACGAACCAAAACGAACAATATCTACTAACAATAGCTTCGGGCAATTACAAATGGTACCAGAGCTGAACATCGATCCCTAAGGGGTGGATTGTAAGATCCCACATTGGTTGGAGAGGAAACGAAGCATTTCTTATGAGGGTGTAAAAACTTCTCCCTAGAAACGGTTCTAAAGAAATTTGGAGAAAACCACATCTTTCAAAGACCAAAAACTAAAGTCGCCATGAGATGAGGTAAAAAGCGGTTGCATTTCGGGTCCACCCGAACTAGCTAGTGTGGACCCGGGTAGGGAGCTTTAGGTTGATTAGTCCTCCCTTCTCCCATCAAGGCTATTGCTTTCCTTTTTTTTTCCCATTGTTTATAAAGAAAGATCGAATGAATTTGATGTTGAATATAAATCCACCCATCCCAATTGTCTTTACAAAAAGAAAAGGGGAAAAAATTGATGTTTGAACCACAACCTCAGAAGAATATACAGCAAATTATAAGAAAAGAAAACTAGGCATGTTCTAAGATTCAAAATGGACGTGTCTTGGACACTAATCCAACTACTCTAGTGGGTTAACCCATTATACTAATTCACGATGTGGGAGAGAGACAGATTTTGTTATATGGGGGGAAAAAGAAAGCCCCATTCACAAGAAATGAATATTGCCCTTTATCTGTAAACGAAATGGGGATACTCCTTCAGTGATGCCCATTTTCAACTTCATTCTGATCTAAAGCTTTGTGATGCCATGGCAACTGTTTCCCTTCTCATCTCTGTGCTTCTCTGCTTATCAGTGCCTTTTTTCATGATTAGTACTACTCTCTCCTGCTCCTATCTTCAATACAATGTCTTCTTTTTCCAAAATGCCGTAGAAATGTACTAATTCGTGTTCATTTTGTGCAGATGCGGAACAAATTATCATAGTCAACAACTGTAACGAAAGCGTATGGCCGGGGATTCTTGGCGGTGCTGGGCAGAACACGCCCAAAGAGGGTGGGTTTCTACTTGGAAGCGGCCAGGAAGTAGTCATTGACGTGCCGGACAAATGGTCGGGGAGGATATGGGGCAGACAAGGCTGCAACTTTGACTCCAATGGTAAAGGCTCGTGCGAGACGGGCGACTGCGGTGGGCGGCTACATTGTGGAGGAGTTGGGGGTGAGCCGCCAGCCACGTTGGTGGAAATGACACTTGGGTCGTCCACATCGGCCCTGCATTTCTATGATGTGAGTTTGGTGGATGGGTTCAACTTGCCAGTGTCGATGAAGCCGGTGGGGGGAGGGATTGGGTGTGGGGTGGCGTCTTGCGAGGTTGATGTGAATATTTGTTGTCCATCGACGCTGGAGGTGAGAAGGGGCAGCAAGGTGGTGGGCTGCAAGAGCGCTTGCTTGGCTATGCAATCGGCAGAGTATTGCTGCACGGGACAATATGCAAATCCAAATACTTGCAAGCCTACTCTGTTTGCTCACTTGTTTAAAGCCATATGCCCCAAGGCTTATAGCTACGCTTTTGATGATTCCTCCAGTCTTAATAGGTGCAGGGCTTCTCGTTATGTCATTACTTTTTGCCCTCCTCAATTATAGATGGCTCTTAGGCGCTGTCTTTTGTGCATTTTTAGTTCATCGCTAAGGTATTGTTTTTCCTAGCTTAAGCAACTGTAATGGGAAAATCCTTCTATCAATGGGAGAGAATTTTCGTTAGTTCTACAACCGTGAAGTTGCTACTTTTGAACTCTCCTTTTATATATTCTGAAGTTCACAGCACATGATCTTTGATTCTAAATCCAACATGTCGCAAAACTAGAATTCTATCACAAAGCAATTGCTAGTAAATATCTCAGAAAGGTATAAAACTGCATTAAAACCTTGACTATAAAGAAAGGAGTGGTGTTGCCGCTACCAGTTCGATGTTCTAGACATCAACCGCCTCAGTTGTTGCGTAAGTTCAACCATGGCAGCATTGTAGTCACAGAGGAAGGGGAAAGCAAGATGATTGAACTGGTGTGGAAATTACTAAATGTACAGCTTAAATTATGAAGTCGAATCCACGTTTCCGTTTGTATTCGCTGCGGAACTGGAAGTAACATCTCTAGCCTCGGGTGCGGGTGCAGGTGCAGGTGCAGGACCTAAGCCCAGCAATAAAGGAGTTTCTTTCTTTTCAGTTTTAGGACTTGTATCAGCCGGAGGCCTTTCCGACCAAGCTCTCAGAGGAGGTTCAAAATGCTTACTAGCAACATCAGGAGGTGGTTCATCCTCCCCAGGAAGAACAAGAAGGCCCTTTTCACGGAGAGATGATGGTTCTTTGTAGCAGGTATTCCAGAGTGAATCAACAAGCTGCCTTTCTTCCCTAGCTGCCGCAAGATCTTCAGGTGACAGTAAACTGATTCCCTTTATCCGCTCCTCAAGAAGCTGTTTTAACTTGGCATCATCTTCACCTAATCCTCCACCATTCTCACCTGTCTTATCCTTGGCAAGTTCAAGGAGGCCACGAAGAGCAGCCTCCCGTACATCAGCATCATCACTGGATACAAGGTGTAGCATAATGCGAGGAAATCCGAGCTCATTCACGATGTGGCAATCTGAAGCATTTTCAAGCAGCAGGTAATGGATCAAGTAAAGGGCTTTCCTGAAAAAACAAAGAAACATAATCGATCAATTAAAAAAGCTATTCCCCAAACAAAGGGATTGCACGATTGGCAATTCGAACCAAAGAATTTATTGCAACAAATTATGAACATCTTTATTATATTTATTCCTATAGCCGCTCAAACCCCCCATTAGGAAATTGGATTTTCTCAAAGTTGTGAGGGCAAGATGGTTTTGGAGGTGATCTGTCACGATTCTATCATACTTACCTTTGAAATCTCACACTCTCGGAACCAAGAGCATCTCTCAAGCCTGCATAACCATTTGCAAGTCGGAATGCAGCAACACCAGGTTTGTTGTGTCGAATTAAAGCTGCAGAGAAAGCAGCCAAAGGGGGCAAAAACAAAATGGAAGCCAATGTCAGCAACCTATACGAAAGCCTCTAGGCCTAAACAGAGATACAAATTGAACACTTCTTCACAAAAAGGAATCTATGTACTTACAGGATATAGCACCAAGAGCTTTGGTCCGAGCAGTGACATCGGGGTCGGAAGCAAAGTTCAATAGGAGCGACTCTAAACCATTCAATTCCATCACCAGTTGTTGACTTCGTGGATTATTTTGAACAATAGTGGTCACGACTTCTGCAGCTTTGGCTCGAATATTTGCATGGGAATTCTTAAGAAACCCAAGAAGCGGATGCAACCCACCGATAGAGTGGAGGTCTGTCAGCGCAATATAATTGATGTGAAGAGGACGATAAATAATTTTACTCAAAGAAGTGATACCATAAACTCAATAGTGATATTTTTATTCTGGAAGAAAGTTCATCAATAACCATTCCACAATTCATAAACCCTTGCTAAGAAAGTAACATCTCGAAACCCATTCAAAGTCAATAATTGCTACATTAGTTGTTATGGGAGACAGTATGCTAGAAACTACACCAACTTCTCCCTTTCCTTATTGCATGATATACAAAACTAGGCGCCTAACCTAATAGCAATCAACCTGGGGCAATGAAGATCCCTGTCCATCGCAAAAGCGTGTAGAAACTACAAGGACCATGCTCAATTGAGGGAAAATTGTAGATTCTACCAAGTGATTTTTCCCTTCAACAAATGAAGGCATATCAAGCTTCCTCGTTGGAATCATAGAAACAATCCCCATCTGCCCAACAATTATTCTATTAATTCAAATAAAGAAAGTACTTTACCATTAGCCATGTCAATCGACTCAACATGCTCTTGTAGCTCATCAAGCATATCTGCAAGGATCAAAAAAATGGAACGAAATAATTTAGGAAATGTCCTTGAAGAGGAAATAGAACCCCTGCCCGGGTAGACGGGGGTGAAGGAAAGTTCTGAAAATGAAAGTACCTTCAATATCTTCTGGATTAACACCTTGAGCTTCCAAGACTTGCTCAGGAGCCTGCATCACTTGGGTTATCTCTTTCATGCGCTTAATAACATCAACACTCTGGGATTGCATTGCTTCCATAAACCATCTCCGATCCTCCTCACTGGAAAAAAGACGTAATTCAATACCATCTTTTAAGAAATTACGCGGAAAACATATCGCCCAAAACAGATAAACCTAACCACGGCCACAGAACATAATCTGAAACCAAGGTTCACACCTTCAAAATCAGCAACAACAACAGTA